TCTCTCTCTCTCCCTCTTTCGCTGTGTGTCTCAAACACTGACTCTCTCATCTGTTACCCATGTCCATCTCCCAACCTCTTCCTTCTCTCACCCTCCATCAAATTCGAGATGTTTCAGCATTTTTATCTTTTTTCAGTTTTTCATTCCATCATTAAACGGTGTTATCTTTTGTTTCCTCTATTATAGTCTTCCTTTACTCATAATATCATGCATAAATGCAGGTCTTATGTGTTTGTTTGTAGCATTTTATGATAAAACTTGTTTTTCATGCATTTCTTTTAATTCTATGTGAAAATTGAGGAATCAAATATCTTCTTACTGAGGCCTGTGAACAGATGGGAGCACCCTGTCTTTGCTGTAGGAAGTTTGTGCCATTTTGAATTTACATTGTTTTAAAATAAACCTATATTTTCATATAATATCATAATTTATTTATTTTTTTGAAAAGAAGTATCACCTTTCTTTTTTTAGATAAGGAAATTCACGAACGTGCAGTCCAATACATATACAGCTAAGAAAGAAAGATCATACCTGATTTATAAATCTTAACAACGACAACAACATAATGTCGACTATAACGTCATTGTGAATATTTCCCCACCTTTCTTACTAAATAAATAAATAAGACACTATACTATAAATGTTTCCGCCCCCTTGTTAGCATTAAATTGATCTTTAAGACAATTTATCGTTACCATGATTTATTATATTATATAGCGACGATAAATAACTCGTCGATACGACGGTCCATCCGACACGTCTAGGCAAATTACCTAGGATCGAGAGATCCGCCCTCTCGTCGTCAGTCCTCGTCAGTCGTCGCCGATCTTTTCGATGCTGCCACCCGAGTAGAGTATTGTATGAACTCAGAAACTGGGTCCGCTTGAGGACTCGAGGCGGTCGGCTATTTGCAGATCTTTGGCATTTCGCAAGCAAGGTCAATGAATGAGGCCACGATCGATACATCTTAGTGCTAGTCGAGACCGGGGAGTTGTTTTGGAGGGATTTTTTTGTTTTGTTTTGTTTTCTCTTTGGTCCTCTCCTTCCGTCTTTTTTCTACGGTCAGCTGGTTTGTCTAGATCTACTTTGTTTGTTTGTGTGTGTGTGTGTGTGTGTGTGTGTGTGTGTGTGGAGGGAGGTACACTTGTGTTTGTTTAGCAAAGGCGGTCTTGTGCACCTGCTTTATGTAAACTTCTGTCGTCTATTTTCCTTGCGGGTGGTCGGAGGGTGCCCCCTTCCTTGTATGTCTACTTCTATTTCTGTCTGTCGTTTCTGCCCACCTGTCTATTTTTCCCTGCATTTTAGTGACTTTACTTACTCAATTTCAAATCACTTGTCTCGGTTTATTCTTCCCGAAAACAAACAAAGAGCAACACAGTTCCTTCATTTGTAACTTATTGACCGAACATGTATTTCAAAGCATTATCTGGCGGCTACCAATATCCCCCTCCCCTCCGCTCACGCCCCCCCTC